GGAATTGGTCGAAAAGTAGAAACTAAGGGAGAAATTATTTTAAATCCACAGGACTAAAAAAACTCTCAGATTTCTCTCAGAATTGGTCAAAAAGTAAAAATTGTGGAAAAAATTATTCTTAGTCCACAAAACTAAAAGAGCTCTTAGATTTCTCTCAAAATTGTTCAAAAAATAAGAAATCACAAGGAAAATATTTAAAGTTCACAAGCGACATGATAAGGCTAAAAGAGTGATATTAAAAGAATTACAAGGCTTAAAGCGGTCATTAGCGATTACCATCCATGTCCAGGCGAGGTTGAGGAGATTTTAATACTAAGAGTATGTGTCGGGCAAGAAGCTCTCGGGGAAGAGACTTCAAATAATCCAAAGCTGATAACTCCCTAGCAGACAACAAATCCACAGGAATCCAGTCGTACCGGCGAGGCACCCGAGTCCAGTGGAAGGGAAAAAGAGGGTTATTTTCACTATCAAAGAAAAAATTCCTACCTACAGGGTGGACAGTACTTTGAAGTAACCGGTCTTAAAACCCTTGAAAGACGAAGCGTAAGGCTTAAACAATGACAATTCTGGTTGCCTTATTAAAGATATCCACATTGCCAAGTCGGATGGACGAGTACAAAAGAAATAAAGAAATAAGCCTACACTAGGTTCTATATAATGAAATTTACAAAGTACTCTAAAAGCTTGAATAGCCGCCCACCCATTTGGATGGAGTTGTGTCGGCGCCACATTTAAAACCCTCAACACTCCCATTTGGAAGTCATCAAAGGGCAATTTTATACCCAGTTCTCTAAACATATATTCATACACAAAGAAAGTGTCGGCCATTCCGGCACCTCCTAGAAAAACAAATTCAGGGTCTCCAGTTTCATCTCCTCGGCAAGGATCAATGGATATGGGGTAGGGATCGGAAGATTCCCATAATGAAACATCAACATGATTGACAAAAGATTGAAGAATCTTATTTCTTTTATATCGAGAGAAGTAGGAGGCTACTTCACCGTGTACCCACTCGTATCCAGGAACTGTACAGGGGGGAAACACCGGTCTTTCTCTAGGAGGGCTCGTGCTCGGTAGTGGTTCAGAAGAATCAGAATCAGTAGAATTAGACGACTCAGTTTCGTCATTACTTTCCCTAAAGCAAATCTATACCTTTTCATGTACCCCGTCGGTCTTGAACCAAATTCTACCCCCGTTCGGTTCTCTCAACATGTGGCATATCAACACTAGTCGGCCTAGACGTGTCCGACAACGAGTCCTCCCACTCCAGAGATTCGGCCATGATAAAATAAGGAAGGGAAAGGAAAAAGCTAAACGTACCTCACAGGTAGTCAATTCGGAAGAAAAGAGAAATTTTGAGCACCCTTCGGTTTGGAGCAATAATGTATGCTTCTCGGTTCAGAGAAAATATGAAGCGCAAAAGACCTAGACCACCATGTATTTATAAGGTCTCGGGCCCTTGGGCATATGAAGGGACGCACCCCTTCCAGACCGACAGATCTCTTTGACATCAAATGGTTGAGATCAAGCACCCTTTCGTTACATGCACACACACCGAGAAAACCTTAAAAATTCTTGAAACCCTAAAAACCCGAAGATCTAGAATGATCTTTTTTATTAAATTATTTTATTTTTATTATTTATTTATTTATTTATTTATTGGACCACAATCCTTAAATCGAATACCCCTCGGTATTCCTCCACACTCCTTAAACCGAATGCCCCTCGATATTCCCCTACACCCATTAAAATCGGATACCCTCTCGGTATTCGATTTCTCCCAACAAATCGAGTACCCTCTCATCTGCGTATTTGTCCATATATTTAAAGCCCTTACCTCATACCTCTTCGGGCTTGGAGGGCTAGTGTACTGGATAGAGATCTGCTCGGTCCTATATGTAGGAAAAGGAAGCTGAGTACCTACTCGGCTCAGTTTAGCCAAATAGTTTTGAAAGTTCAAGACACAAAGAAAGATCATGGACGATAGTAGTTATAAAAGAAGCCACAACTGTCAGCATGATTAGAAGTAGTCGTGGATAATAGATAGTAGCTGTTGAAGACAAACACATAAAAGACAATTACTGAGAAGTACCTACGAAAAGAGGATAACAGTGGTGGTCCATTTGCCTATAAATATTACAAAGCTTCATTTTCTAAAGGATGACTTTTTGCACACAGACACTGTACCCAAACTCTCTGCTTGCTGAAAATCTGTATCGCGTCAGACATCAGCTACCAAGAGACTCACAGTCATTGTTGTTCACTATGAAAAGTTGTACATTTATATTTCTACATATTTACATTCCTGCAATTTGTTTTAGTTCATTTTGTTTGTTTATGTTCCTACAATTTAGTTCTTGTTTAGCACGTCTCTGTAAAACTGCTACATTCAATCTGGTTCTACATAATTGTTATCTATTATTCCCATTTAATATTTTTCTTTACAACATCAATTTGGGTATTATATTTAATGACACACTTAAAAGAACGCAAGAGGACCTAAAATCTAGTCCCCTAAGTTACTCTTAGATTTATTTATTTACAACTTGAAATTTTTAGTGTAAACACTTACGTTGTTTTACATGATGAAAATTGAAAAGTGATATTTAGATTACTTCAATTTGATTGAAAGGAAATAAAAAAAATAGATCTTGATCCAACACAAAATTATTGTTCACATGTTGCCTTTAAAATTTTTGTCTGCATGAAAGGACATATTAGAATATTTAGATAAGAATTGCATAACCCAATCAAATAGTCAATTTTAGTCATCACATTTGAATAACAACATTCAAAATGCATGAAAGGACATATTAGAATATTTAGATAAGAATTGCATAACCCAAACAAATAGTCGATTTTAGTCATCATAGTTGAATAACAACATTCAAAATGATTGAGATTTGTAGATTTATTAAAAAAAATAAAATCATTGAAGTAAAATGACATTTAAAAGAAAAACAAAGAGCCATATGAAATCCAAATTTCATTCCATTAATTTTATCTCTCAGGAAAGATAAATATATGAAAGATTTTAAAAATAAGGGACTAAAATATCTATCGGTGACAATATTAGGAACTAAAATATTTGATAAATGATAAATTTAAGGAATAAAATGAAATAAAAATATATATTATACCATCGTTTTTGTCAGGTAATCAATCATATATGTCACTAATTATAACATATTAGAATTTTGTTAGTGTCTATGACGGTGTCTGACAACTTAAATATTTGACGAAGATAAAAAATAAAGACTATTGTGATATTTTTAAAATATTAGGAACTAAAATGTCTAATGATTATTATTTCAATGACCAAAATAAAGATTTAGTCTTTGATTTCATGTTTGTTTACTTTGTACACAATTTTTCAGCGTTAAATATTTGATACACATTTAAAAACTTTTGATGCATATCTAAACAAAGACTTATTTTTGTCTCCCCTACATCCATCTCACACACACCCCATAAAGGTGTGTTAGAACATCATTACTCTTTGATAGAACATGTGTAACCTCAAATTTGGGTGAGTCAAGCTCAAAAATGAATATAGTATCTTTATTATGTGCACGTTTTGAAAAGAAGACAATAAAAAAGCCTCATCATATGAAAATAGTTTATGATTTTCGTAATTTTTTAAAACTTATTTTAATAAAAAAATTGATATAACTTAATAAAATAAGTTATTTTTAGCTCACCTTTATAAGTTAAATTTATGTCATACATTCATTTAAAAGAGCTTATTAAATAAATATTTAATTCAGCTATGTATCCAAATGCATGCAATATCCTAAAACTTTTTAAACAGTTTGTTTACGCATCACAGTTAAGCAAATCTTGTTTAGCAATGTGATCATGCATATTACCCTGCTTTTACGCGAAGTCCTAGCAACATAATACCTATGCTCTTGTGTGTTATGCGGGTGTGAAGGAATCGACAAGCACTTTAATTTAAAATTTTTGACGAACACCTCTCTAGTGCCCAAGAGTAAATCTCAGAGGCATTGGGCCATTATTGGTAAGCAAGTTCCGTGGCACTACATGAAAGTCTTAAAATATCAAGATGAATGCCTCAACCATTTTGTTAATGTGGGTTCCGCATTGTAGCAGCCATTTCATGATCGTTCAATGAGAAACAATCAGAAGTAGCTTGCATGAATGATGCAGCCATGATAACCACCACCACCACATAAGAGGTTGCCCTCGAGAACCTGCTATATAATTGTAAAACGATTGATCCCTTGGGGTGCTCGTGGAAGGACTGATCCTAATAATTAGATAATCTAAGAAATTCCACCATTAGGGGTCACAGCGCAATGTTACGTTTGTTACACTGTTGTCCCACCAAGGATGAATATGCCACGTTGCTTTCTCTTTGCAAAGTAAAATGAACCTTCGATCACATCTCGGCCTGTGCTTACTTCCACGGCATGAACCCTAAAGGCACTAGCAGTATACCTAGTCGCAATAATTAGTGGTTTTCGAATTGTTTTTAGAGCTGGCTAGCTGACATCTAGTTCGCCCAACGGTTTCCCCATTACTGCAGAAGGAACTGGCGAAAGTGCTTCCGGCACATTGGTTGGGAGAATTAATAGGTTACCATCAATGTCTATCCTATTCACGTTACCCTTTTCTTGTTCTCTCTTTGGATCCATTTTATGTGATTTGGTTCATTGCAAATGTGCAATGACCAGCAACAAAACCCCTTTCTGCTACATGGAAGCTTATGTAACTGCATTGCTACAAGAAATTTAACAGTATCCCCAAAGATTCACATTTCGAGAGTTCAGTACACCAACCCCACCACAATTTTTTTGAATTAATCACTATTGCTTAACTCAAGATAACTTAACCTCATGTTAATTGCCTTTCCAAAAGAGATCTCAGGCCATTATCGCTCCCCTACACGCCTTCCTTATCATCATACAAGGATATTATAATATTGAGGTCCCGATTCCTGCTAAATCAACAAAAACTGCATATTAGCTTATGCTTGTATCTTGAGATAACAATTCGGTTGGGTTGAGAAAATAACCCCCCAAAAGGAATGCTACCATGAGAGTAAACGATGGCCCCAGTATTACAATAAAATTAACGCAAGTCAAAACTATAGAAGTCAGGTTAGATTCTCTTTTAAGTATGTACAATTGAATTAACGCTCAACCATCTGAATGAAAATAACACCTTAATTCACCTAAACCTGCTACAATAATTTCTCATTAAAAAAAGGGGGAGAAAAAACGCGCAGGACTTGTATTGTTAGTGACTGTGCTGCCAAAGTTGATGCAACTGCTTGGATGACAAACCTTGAAAACCACCTGGTTGCTGACGTTCTTCCAAAACCCGCTTCTGAGAATGAAGGTCAGCATATCCAGGACTTGCAAACTGTGACAGAGAAGCCTGATTTGGCTGCCCCGTGAAGTTATATTGGGTTCTCTCCGGGAGAAATCTTGATTCAGCCCCATAATCCCAATTTGAAATCCTACCACGCTGGTCAGAAGAATGACAACAAAAAACATTAACCAAAGGTATAAAATTATACAATAACAGGCTTTGGTAGCGTAGTAAGAGTATGTCAAGGCTTTGGTAGTTGTATGTCATTTATTTTTTATTTTCTGAGTAGGTTCGCAGAGGAAGTATATGCAGATCGACAATAGCTAACTTTACGGGCCATTTTCTCACAAGACATACAATGGTCAACAGCATTCATTCATGCAACATTCATTATTGAAGTACACTGCAATTATCACCACATTAACAGCTAAAGATCATTCTGAACTTACCTGCTGAATAGAGCTTATTCTATGTCCAGCATTATACCGAGAAGGTAAAGTCTCATCTAAGTTAATAGAAGGCATCATATAACCAGGTGATGGATTAGACAGCAAGCTTCCAGGACTTAAAAAGGAAGAACCAAGATTTCCATAACCAATTGCATTTCTGGCAGCCGCAGGAGGCAATCTACTTGTGAGGAATTCATTTCTATTTGGTGGAAAGTTGTACTTCACATCTGCTGGAGATTGATTATATCCAGTATTGCCTGAAAATGCTTTCTGTGAATTTGTGGTTGGAATGTATGACTGATTCTGGGACAGGGATAGATATCCTTTTGTGTTAGGTAATTGATGAAAGTGTATTGAGGATTGCACAGTAGGATCCTGGGGAAATGCAGATCCCTTAGGTAGAGCAAAGGTGCCTGGCTCCATGACCTGCATGGTGCAACAGCTGTCAAAAATAACAATGTCTAATTATTAGGTTCAATTTATTAATAACTTAATCCAGTGCACTGATTCGGAGCCTTTAAGCCTCAAGTAAATAACACTAATGCACTTTCCTTCAATGCTAGTCCTGATTCTTTTGGCATTTTATATCTATGTTAAGACAATACAATGAGTTCTACACAGTTATAAGGTTTAAACAACAATCAAAGGGTGGTTATTGAATCAGGTATTTAAACATCATAATGAACTTGTTACCAGGTCTTAAGCACGATATCTAGACAACTTCACATTCAATATAACCCAATTTCTGAAGTCCCTGCTCTGCCTAGAGCAAATGCTTCTCATTAACCCATATGTTGTCAAGCTAAATCAATGCAGATACCACTTTGGTTGTAGAGGACCATGAAAAAGATTGAAAGTACCACTCAACTTGATAAAAATGTGTCCAGGAAACTTTTTTAAGCTAAATCAATGCAGATACCAGTATGTGTTTCCCTCATCCATCTTTTATTGATGCTGGGTATGTGAGCATCAAGACAATAATACACAAATATGATCAATAAGAACTATTTTACTAACATGTATCCAAAATCACAATTGGAAATCACAATATATCACAACATCCAATACTAAGATAAAATTAAATGCTACAATTTCCAATAAAAACTAACTCAGGCACATGTTAGAAAAACCTGTAATAAGAAATATTGAAATCACAACAGCAGCCAAGACTCGAAACATCTCTTTCCAGTTATTCTTCTACCAATAATGTTCTACTGATGTAAAAATCATTAGATGACTATTCCACCAAAAGAATAACAGTTCTATGTAGTTATTAGCATATGGCCATTACAGAAAAAAAACATAAAATCAAAGAATTAACAAAAGCAAGGAAAGTACAGATGAATATTCCCAAGATACCTCTGACATAGGGAAGGCAGCATTTCTTATAGATGATACTGCATTATTGTGTCTAGAAGGTTGTGATTGTGACATTAGGAATGCCAACACATCATCACGTATTGAATTTGAGTCAGCATACTGCATAAAGGTAAATAAAAGCAAATTTCAAAATTATAAATGTTTAAAAGATAATAAGAATGCTAGGATAAGTAAACATTTATTAAAGAACAGAAACATGATTTGACCATTAACCTATTTTGCAAAAGTGTACGCATACTTTCATACAAAACATTATTATCAAATGCATAATCATATCATTCAGCATATTATAACAGCAGAATAACCTATTAAATGAACCCCAGTACCAAAAAAAGTTTAGTCATATATTTGGAACCAGAGTATGGAACCAAATCAATTTATTTTGAGATGTGCAAGAAGTGAAATATAGACAAAGACAGTAATAAAAAAGAAAAAAGAAAAAAGTGAAGGTCTGTTTTGACGCTAGCATACACAGACAGCTTCGGTATTTGAGAGATTAAAAAGTGGAAATTCAAAAGACAAGAAATACCCTAAGAAAACGCTTGGCATGCAGAAAGGAAAATCCAATCTATTTGCTGAAATTCTCAGCGAGTTAAATAACCATGGAAAAGAAAACAATACAGTTTAGATTGACCATTGGCCATGTGATAGATATATATCATGTAGGAAGCCCATCAATTTCAATAAGAAAACCAAGTTAAAGATTTCAAGTTTGGAAGACTAGTGTTACCACTTACTAGTTCTGTTGGATAAGTATAATGGTTTCCACTCTGCAAGCCAGGCTGCTTCAGAGGTTGTGAAGGATTCACCCAGTGGGAATTTTGCAAACTAGAATCTGATACACATGCTGTAATTTTGTACTCATTCTCTAGAGTTTCCTCAGGAACAATATTCTTCACAAACCCTTGCTTAGGAGATGAAAGGAAGTCACAGTTTATATCACCTGCTGTTCCTCTAAGAACATCAAATCCAAGCTGTTTATCACCACAGTATACAGAACTAATAGAGAGAAAACAATAATAAAATTTGTTGCAATAGACAAAGCAGAATATATCAGAAGTTGAAAACGGGAAAAAAATGCCTTGTGTCCAGGAATTGAGACGGAGAATCATCTACTGCTGCAGACTTTTCTTCCAAGCCACTTTTGGAAAGATGATTAGATATAAGAATTGCAGAAGATGCAGAACTACTGCCGCCATTGTATGTACCAAAACTCAAATATGAACAGTCAGCACCCAAGGCTTGTAAATGATTTGGAATGACCACTGTCGGGTCATCTTCAACTTCAAACGTTGGCAATTTCTGTTTAGATTCTCCTATACTTAGCCGCTGGAGAATTGAAGCAGCAGATGACACATCTACAAAGACATCATTAAATTTATGTGAATGATCTTAATAGGATAATGGCAATCCATTACACTTGAGAAAAAAAAAATGGCAAAAAATAACATATTGCATGAGACTTATGTTTTTCCATGTATTAAGAATCACAAATGACTAAGCAGCATATCTAAATAGTGGTTTCTACATCCCTTATACAGCTTCTGATTCAAGGTCAATACACTTTCTACAAAAGTAACAATACTAATGTAAAGATTCTACAGAAGTTAGGAATTATAACCATCAGTGAAAATACAGATTTCAGGCGCTAGATCTAGGTTACAGTCCAAATCACTATTTGACAAAACTAAAAAGACAATACAAAAAAGTTTTAATTTTTAGTACTTAATCTGAAAGTTGCAACAAAGACTTCATTGCCATAGTATTCTAAATCTAAACCACAGTTACAATAGTTACCTTCATAATGTTCATAAGAACTATGAAGATCAGAGGAAAGAGTATTCCTTAAGTTAGGGTTGGAATGAGATCCTAATCCATCATTGTTACTCAAAATAGTATGTTTGCTAGGCATACAAGCAGATTCAACTTTTTTGGAAATAACATTATCACAAATAACATTCCCCCATGAAGCTTGGGCCGCATCTAATTCGCAGTTCCTGCGTAAACAAACTGCAGTAGAATGCAAGCTAGGATACTCGAACAGCCCATTATTAGCATTTGAAGCAGACATGTTTAGTGTCTGTGAATTTCTAGCAATTGGTTGTTCCATTACAGAGCAATCATCATGAAAATTTTGTTTCTCAGAATGATTTTGACAGGAAAGACCTAAGCTTGACTCTGAATTTCCACATGCCAAATCTCCAGAGGAATTGCAGTGTGTATGTGAAACAGCATCTTGTGATGTTCTACCCATTCTTACAATGTCTGCCATTGACAGACGTCCTTTGCTCACTCCTATCATTGAGGGTTGAAGTCTTGGCGAGGCTTGGGTAGAATCTGCCACGGAGTCACCTGTTCCTGATGACTGTCTTCCATTATCAGTACTAAAATAATCACTGCATCAAAAGGTTAAAAAGGAATATAAGGAGAATATTTATAAATTTTATTTAGAAAAAAAAAATCACTTACAACAACACTATAATGCTAGTGATGTCAATATGTCATTATAAGACAAGCAAATAACAATAAATATTTTCACCTTATACACTATCAATTTGGTAGCTAATAAAGATACTAAAAAGGCAATGAGTAACGCGAGAGCTAGAACACTGTGACCCTGATCTATTCTGTCTCCCTCTAACAGTTTTGTGGTTGACCAATCCGAACCACTATGTGTATAGATAACTATGCTCTTGTTATGGAACTTGATGAGTCTAAGGTAAACAAAGCATTGAAGATACTGAATAATGGTAAAGCAGAAGGACCACATAATATACCTACAGAGATATGGAAGGACTCATAAGTTGTTTAATAAGATTAAGAGGTGACAAGGTGTAAGATAATGCCAGACAACTAGAAGTACAAAGCTCATGAGTAATACTGTGAAGCTATGGCATCTATTGAGTGAAGAACAAGATTAGATAATCAATTGATTTGGTTTTATTTTGAATAAATCAACCATGAAAGCAACATACTTGCTAAAATTATTAATGTAGAGATATTAGAGAAATAAAAAGGATTTACACACAGTTTTAATCAAGTAGTCTTGGATGTGCATACTGAACACATCAATTAGTCAGCACCATAATGCATGTGTTTTTGCAGACAATTTAGTCCTCGTTAAAGGCTAAGAGTCAATAAAAGAAATAACTTGGAAGCTTATGATATATAGACAACCCTTTTAAGTACATATCTTTCATTTATGTAAAAGTAAAAAAGAAGTATATGGAATTTAATTTAAGCAGGAGGGACAACAATTCTCACTTAGAGAAAAAAAAAGGAGATCATATGTTAGTATAAATAACATGATTGATGTATGGTATTGAATGCCAAGCATAGTTGTTAATCTCGGATAGCAGCAAAGCTGACCCCCAAAATGCTATAGTGGAATTGCATGCAAGTAGATAACCGCTATTTAAAAATTTATAATATGCATATATATAAGAGTGATAAGTGAACAGAAAAACAGTAGAAAATCAGAGCTTTATCTCTTTCAACAAACAAAACAGAGCTTGAAGCAAGAGTGATCAATGAACGAAAAAACGGAGGAGAAAATCTTACTTTTCCAGTGAACCGGAAAAGCTTATTTCTATGGTGAAATGGAATGGGTGAGCCGATTGAAAGGGGAGAAACCGCTATGTTGAGGCCCCAACGTTTCGTGCAAAGAGGGGAAGATGAAATCGATATATATGTTTTATAAAGGGTAAATCACCTTTATACCCTTAAAATTAATTAAAACGCTGTGTTTTAGAAAAATCAGAATAGGGTTTCTTGCTTTCCGAATTTCGCGTGATCACACACACAAACTTCTCCCTTTTCTGGCTGCAAACCCCCACAATTGCCGTGACATGACAAATACCCCGTGATGTGGCGGCTGACAGCCGCACCATGCTGTGCCGGCACAATAGCACCGCTATAGTGCGCTATTAACACTGATGCCAAGTGCCAAAAAGTAAACAAGAAATTAACCTAGTGTTGCAGAAATAGAATATCACAATGGATGAATGGACACACAAGACAAGACAAGATTAGGAAAGAATCTATTGGAGGGAAGGTTAAGGAAGAACCTATGACCTATAATGGAAAAAATGTATAATCTCACTTTAGGTGGATTGGGGAAATATGGAGATCTGAATAAGCCCTAATGATGGGTGTAGATCAGATTGAAGATAGTTTAATAGAGGTTGAGGGAGACCAACAAGAAATATAGACAAAACCATTAAAAAGAAGTTAGATTTAAATAGTTTGTCTATGCCTTCATGGACATGATTTATGACAGGATGTTTTGTTTGATACATGTAGCCAACACCACCTAGTGGTAAAACGGCTTTTATTGTTGTCATGTATTGGTAGCAAGGTTTTCAAAATTGAGGTTCATCCTTGACACAAAGAGGGTGTAGGATTGGTAGATCATAACACAGATCGGAAGTGTCAACAAAAACATATAAGTTATATTTTTAAACACCACACACACGCATATGCATAAAAAATAAGATAGATAAGAAAAGTAATTCTAAAATCTCAAAAATCAATTAATTAAACTTAAATTCAAGATTCACAATGTCTAATGCTACAACTCACAACTCACATTTATTTTTTCACAAAACAGAGCACAGAGCAACAAGAGAGCATGCAGTAAGCCAACCAGAGCAAACTATGAAGCCCAGATACTTCAAAACAGCAAATGTATCTGTGTCGGACCCATATCCGATACCTATACGTGTCCGATACATTTAGATACTTATCTCAAAAGCATCTATAGTTTAATTTATTTTTAAAAATTATTTTCTAACCTAATACGACTTAGATACGACAGGTATATTGCTCCTAATCATTCGATATAGTTTAGATAGAATTAAATAGTATAAAAGCAGGACTTTCTTTTTGTGATAGTTCTATATTTTTTTTGGATAGAACTACTAATTCTTTTGTGAAATTCTAATTTGAATAGAGGGATAAAGTATGTAATTTTTTTATGTGTTTATAGTAGGAAAAATATTTTGACTTAGTTACTTAGACAAAAGAAAAATATGAGCTCATGTATTTCCTTTGTAAGATCTGATCATTGATATCCAAATATAACACATTAATATAAATGAATTATCAATATCTCTTTATAAACATTTTATATATGTATAAAGTATGTTATTTCTTTAAATTCATGTTAACGTATCTAAGCCATATCGTATCTTGAATTTCAATTTTTTTCCGTATCCCTGTATCCGTATCGTATCCATGTCGTACTAAGTATCTAGGCTTCATAGAGAGCAAACTTCGCACCACCAACAACAAAACATGCAGCAACAAGAGAGTGCAGCGTTCCAACAAAACAACCAGATAAGATAAGTAATTGGCAGAAACTGCACAACAGAGATGTGCTGGTGCGCTGCAATCCAACCTGGAAAACAATTCACAAGGGCACGCAATATGCAAAAGCTGGAAAAAAATGGTCGGATCACACAATGCAACGCTTCAACACACAATTTTGGCAACATTGATTGGCATTTTAGTAATGCAATAATAACTCATGTATACACCATAAATATTAGTATTAACTAATTATTTAAGTTATCTAAATACAAATAATGCACACATGAATTCACAAAGAGAAGAAATAGGTGTCACTCACATTCAATGTCAATGGGATATACCTCCCAAAACCTGCATACGTTGAATGTGAAACAAAGATAGCAGCAGGTAAAATCCATAATCTCAAGCATTTTCAAATTAAATAGAATGGCAAGAGTGGATGACAGTTCCCAGAAGGAGAGTTTCTAAATTAAAAAAAAAAATTGTCCACAGGGAGAGATTCTAAACCATAAAAATGCCAAAAACATCCATCAAGGCTTCAATTGCATCCAATCATGAACCATCAAGTTCCTGGATGATTCATAAAAGAAGCACAGAACCTCAATCACAAAAGGAGTAATGAACTTATGGGCAAGGCAATCACTAAAATATCCTTTCCAAGATACCAATTTGAACACATTTTAAATTTGTACTAAAACAAAACAAGAACAAGTACAAATATTCGAAAGAGAGGGAAAAATGGATAGCATGATCAAACATAGGCTAAGGGCCTGTTTGTGTTAAAGCTTAAACGAAGTTTTGGGAAATTGAAAATTTTTAGCTTCTCAGAAGACAGGAGCCTTTAAATCTCTGAAAAGGTGTTAAGGGGCTCGCAAGCATTTTCAAAACAGGCTCTAAAACCATCAAAGCCATTGCAAAACATCCAAAAATCGATGTCAAAAAACAGCACGTGGATTGTCTTGTGAAATAAAGTGACAGTGACAGCAAGCCACACTATTTACATTAACAATTTGAATTCATATAAGCTATCAGATTGCATTAAAATTTAAAAATGCTCACCTTTTTGTACTTTTCCGCACAACAGGAGTTATGGATGGCGTAACTGAAGGACATAATGACCCACCCTCTCCCTTGTCATTGGCTTTAATATGCTCTGACATTAAGTTACACACATTTGACAAGGTAAGGCAATGCAATAGTAAAAGCCCACGTCAATATATTAGTTGTATGTACCAGAAATTGCATCATGTTCCGCAATCAAAGAAGATACCATTATAAGTCACATGTGTTAATCTACTCCGCACAACATTACGATCACCGCCAGCGCCAGTTTTGCCTCCACGACTCAACCCCACATTATTACCCCTTGCCCTTGAATCAAACACCTCCTTCATCTTAAGTTAAAAAGCAAACAGATTATTCATCCCATAATCGGCTAAACCTTATCTCAATGTTAATAAACAATGTCATACAGGAAATACCTCTTTTCTTCTTTCACGTTTACTCCTCACCTCACGAAACGTATCTGCAATTAAAATATTGAGAACTATCAATTATACTATATACAAAGCATCACAATAATTCATAAATCATAATACTCAGAAATAAAACAAGAATAAATAGACAAATAACTATTAATAACCAAATGCAGGTAAACTACAACAGATAAAATGCACTCAAATATCACTTTTTAAAGCTTTTTTTATTCTATGAAAAAGCTTAAGAAAACATCAAAAGTTCTCAGAACCATGATAAAAAATAAAAAAAATAAAACGAAGTCAACACTATCTCATCTTCACCAATTTCCCCTGCAACCAAACACAAAGAAGCAAAAAAAGGAAAAACACAACGTTCCACTGCACGACCAAAGCAACCGAATATAACAGTAACGAAAAAACAAAAACCTTGAGCCAGAAGCCTCTCTACAGCGCGGTTAGGGTCCATATCACAATCCTTGAGCACAGCGTAGATCTCCTGCTCCGAACAGTTCACGATCTCCTTCACGCTCTGCACCAACTTTTTCGCCGTTGCCGGTACTCCTTGCTCCGCAGAAGCCTGTTGTCCACCGCCATAACCATCGCCATTCCTATCTCTACCTTCACTCCCCATTGGTCTCTAAGCGCGCAAAAATTTTCTCTCACTTTCTATTGCTTGCGGCTAGAATTTTTTGATTAACCAAACAGAACCCTTTGGTCTTTGAAGAACACAAATTTCGTTTTCAAAATCTCACACTTAGGCTTTATATATAGCGGTTTTTCTCTAGCTTGTGGACTGTGGTTGAGTTACTTGAGTAATGGTGATCACCTGTCACTGGGCCAGGCTGTTGTCACAGCCTGTGATGCTGGGAATTCTCATGGCCCATTCTTTTTGCCACGTATACTTCGCCACCAGTTCGGGGAACCTGTTTGTGATTGGGTTTTACGAGGAAGAGCTGTCACAGGAGCTGAAATTAGGATTTTTCTTTCAAGATGGGATTTTTTTTAAATGATTTTAAATTATCCTACTTTTATACTTATAACATTATTTAACTATTAAATAAAAATAAATTTTTTTATATTTTTAATTCTTAAAATAATAAATTCATGTAATATAATAAATATGCAGATATTATTAAATTAAAATTAAATTTTAAAATTTTATAAATATTATATTATATGAAATAAAATTAATTTTTAAAGATATTTTTGTTCAAAAAAACTCCTAAAAACATTTTCATTTGAAAAATTATACTCAAACTGTATAAACATTAACTATATTAAATAGATTAAAAAAGATAAATTTTTAATTAAAAGATCATGAAAAAATTAATTAAAAATAATCATTTAATTAGAAAAAATCCTTGTTAACGAGAGAGAGAAAATTAAATATTAATTATTGAACAAGTAGATTATATTATAAAAAAATATTTTAATTTAATGTATGATTTTAAATTTAAGTTCTAATAAATATAGTTGTATTAAATGTTTAAAGAAATTTTTTTATCATTTATAATAATCATATTCAGCTTAAATTATATATAAATAATATTTACATGCACAATTTATGCACTCATTTAATAATTAAACTTATTAAAATAAGATAAAAATAATTTTTTTTATAATTTATATCAATAAATTTATTAAAATAAATTAAAAATAACTTATATAAAACAAAACATAAACAACTTTTTACAAATCATTTATAAGTTCTTCCAAATATCCACTCCATATTAAAGTTGATATTATTCTTTTTAAGGATGTTACCAAATTACTTTCACCTTGAAAAATTAGTTATGTGAACAAAATATTTATATTTAAATTAATAAGAAATAAGTATTTATCTTCTAACTTTATACATCCTATTATTTTAAAAAAAGTTTTTATTGAAATATTTTTAAAAAATTTAAATCTCTTTTACAAATATTTTTAATTTATCTAATAAAGAATATAATGTATTAGAATAACATTTATAAATTTAACTATTATTATAAAATTTATTATTTTTTAAATATATAATAACTTATAATAATATTAAAAACTTTTATATACTATATATGAATTTTAATAGGGATAAAAAAAAGTATTTTGATTAAATTTTTATATTATGAAATTAGTAATTATAACTATTTGACAAGGGATAAATATTTTATTTTATGTTATTATTTAAATTTAAATTAAATAATAATATTTAGTCTTTAAATTAAAATAAGATCTGATTTAAAATATTATAATTTTAACAATCAATTTTTTTATTAATTTAAAATAAATATTCAAATTCAAAGTCTTTGATAATTAAAATATGCAAAATCAAATAGAATTTGATTTGAATTTAAAGATAATAACATACTTATAAATAAACTTTTATTTGCTAATACTTATAAATAAATTTAAAAGAATATTATATTAAGAGATCAAATAATTTAAATTATATAAAAAAAAGATACATACATTTAAATTCTAATGTGATATGTAATATTATGAATAATTTATTTGAATAAAAATTTTGATCTAAATATAAATATCAATGCATAATTTATTTTTATATAATTTGTAAATCTTAATTTTTAAATATAAATATTTACAGGATATTTTAAAGTTAACCTATATGACAGCTTCAAGTGTAAATGTTATAGATCTATATGAAGCACTTCATATTTTGTGTGCTCATTATAAAAGTTATAGTTATAAGGTTAAGAAATGCACTCAAATTCCAATGTCTTAAAAAAAGTAACTTTTTTCTTTAGCCTACCTAATTTGAGCTTATTTAATTTAGAGACAAGATATTGTTAGTGGTTGAAAATAGTAGTAGTTTTGATTATCGAACTTATATCCATTATGATTAAATTCTAAAGGTAATCACTGTATTAATTATTTGCACGAAGAGTGGTTAACTGTTTCAAAATAGAAACCAACTCAAAAAGAAAGAGTGGTTAACCGTTTCAAAACAATAACCAACTAATAAAATGAAGGAATAATCAAATTTTGAAAATAGTATCCAATAAAAATAACAAGCGCTAATAAATTTTGATTATTTTTCAACAATGAGATAGGTAATAATAAAGACGGGAGGGAGATTAGGGAACAAAGTAACCCTTAATAAAAAATGATTATGCAATAGTATTGGTTGTTCAATAGCAAACAAAATTAATAATATCAAAGATCACAAAAGGAAAATAACATCTTTAACTTAAAATAAGGTCCACAAAAAAAGGGCTTGATGACTTCTTATTTTAAGACACTAGTGGTTTATATGAATAAACTTAGAAACACATCAAAATAAACTACTATCATTATGCATGTGGCAAGAAACAAATACTATTTTTGTGAGGACGAAGGAAAGAATGCAACACATGCAATGCATAAAATTTTGCTTCCAACCTTTTGCATGCAAAATGATACAAAGGGGGAGAGTGCATGAAACTAACCTTAAAAATAACATGTGAATGGATGCCTAATAGATTATTCATAGAACTTGTTATATTAAAATAGAACAATAGTTTTAGGCATAGATTTAGTTAAGGGACAAGGCAATAGAATAGTGAACATGCTTTCACAAACTCTTGTTTACAAGAGCCTTAATATTTTGTCTTGAAATGTTTGAGGTACTTCTACAAGGAGAGAAAGAAGATATATTAAGAATATTATAATGAAGTTATCATTTTCTTTTATTATTTTAGTTGAAACTTGTTGACAATTTGAAGTAATTTTAAATTTGGAAAAGAATTAAATTTTAAACTTTGTGCGATTATGAAGGTCATGGGACAATTTGATAGCATTTGTATGTTAGGAGCTACATCCAGAGGCTTCAACATCTCATTAGCAATGTTAATTCTTTGGTGGTCACATGTATGATAGGCAAAACCAAAAGGAAGTGGGCTTACAATGATGTATGTGCAAACCTAGTTACATCATCAACGGATGAATTATGGATGAGTCTTTTATTGAAAATTGTAGGCATGTTAATGAAAACAAAATATAAAAATTCCCAAGTGCATATGCAATGATTATCGTATCTCAAAGCTTGCTTATATACACATACATTTGGTTTAGAATTACTTGATATTGACAAATGTGATAGTAACAGTTGCATCTCTCTAAGTATCCACATGAATAATCCATCAAAGTTATCCTCGTAAGAATGAGTATAGACACACACTTTAGGATTACACATCTAATGATCTCTCATAGAAGGAAAAATTCTAATGAGTGTGGTTCGATCCATGGGCTTATTAATTACAAGTTTGACCAAATTAGGTAATAATTCTAGTCCAACTAGCATTTAACTTCTTTAGCTGGCTTGTTTTCTCCTGTGCAACTCTAAGAATTCTTTTAATATTTGATTTATAATATTTAAATATAAATTATTTATATTTAATATTGTGAATAATGAGTGTCATATAACAATACATTACTATTTTCAAACACTAAAAATGTCATTAAATTAACATAATCTATTAATGTGATATATATAAATTATATAATTAATCTCTGTCCTCATATTTAATTAAATACATGGTATAGAATATGTTACCTTGTAAGTTCAATTTTATTTTCTTGATGCTCAAGCAGACATTTTTAAATGAATATCTCATTTTTATTTTATTGAACATGGTCATGTATTTTATAATCTTATTATATCAAAACACCTTATAAATATTACTCTAATTACATATGAAGGAAATTTTTTATCTAGATTACTCACATTTCTTTACATTATTTATTTTATGGCTAACCTTCAACTTTATGATTACCTTGTTACAAGTGAGGTTTGATAAGATTAAAACATATAACTTGTCATATAAGAATTATAGTAACTTCAGTTCAAAAGATGATGTATACACTATTACGTTGAAAATTATTTATGACAATGATTCATGCAATATTTTCATGACCAATTAACTTAATACATCATTACTTCTAATGTATATATGTTTGAAGACTTAATATCTCATATCTATAATTTGTGAGACTTAATCATCAATCCACTTACACATTAGTCTTAATGTATTATATTGACTTAATAATAATACTTAATTATATATATATATATATATATATATATATATTTACTATTAAGAGCGACTAAAAGCTCAAAAGCAACTTAATTATAAATATTTAAAGAATAGTATTAAATAAGGTCTCATAATCAAGATGTTTACATGATATCATACAAAGTTATATTTAATATATTATAAGGATATTATCATATTCTTATAAAAAGAATTTAATTCATATACCTAATCATTTATTAAAATAAACTGTGATAAACAATAAAAAAAATGTTTATAACATAAAGACTTGTCGTGCATATACTAATATATTTTATGTTATCAACATATATTTTTATATTATAATTATTTATTTCAATATATTGAGACATCTCACATTCATTTCTTTCTAAATATAATGATATTCATAGAATAATAAGTACAAATTTGAATGATATCAAATAAGTGATTTAATTACAAGATCTTACACAGTGTTATTTGTAAAATATCTCTAGTCAATATATTAATATTAAAACAATATAATACGTTGAGACTATTGTGTTAATGGATTAATGATTTAGTCTTGTGGATCATGAAAATGAAATATTAAATCTTCACACAAATTCACATTAAGAATAATGATGTATTAGATTGTCTCATCATGAAAACATTACATGTATCATTGTATGAGTATTATAAACGGTTCTCAATGTAATAGTTGTGTATATAGTTCTTT